AGGAGCGGCTTAAGGAGCTGGGCATGTTTAGCCTGAAGAAGAGAAGGCTGAGAGGAGATATGATAGCCATGTATAAATATGTGAGAGGAAGCCACAGGGAGGAGGGAGAAAGCTTGTTTTCTGCTTCCCTGGAGACTAGGACGCGGAACAATGGCTTCAAACTACAAGAGAGGAGATTCCATCTGAACATGAGGAAGAACTTCCTGACTGTGAGAGCCGTTCAGCAGTGGAACTCTCTGCCCGGAGTGTGGTGGAGGCTCCTTCTTTGGAAGCTTTTTAACAGAGGCTGGATGGCCATCTGTCAGGGGTGCTTTGAATGCAATATTCCTGCTTCTTGGCAGGGGGTTGGACTGGATGGCCCATGAGGTCTCTTCCAACTCTTTGATTCTATGATTCTATCTGTTTGAGCTCAAGGCTTCCTAAACTGTCCCTAATGGCTTTAATAATAATAATAATAATAATAATAATAATAATAATAATAATAATAACTTTATTTATATACCGCTCCATCTCCCCGAGGGGATTCAGAGCAGTTCCCAGGTAACATCACAAAACATACAAAGTAAAAACAACATAACCATAAGATTAACAAACAAAATATAAGCATAAAAAGCACACTGTTGTGAGTTTATCTGCATCCCTCCTTTGGCATGGAAAGATCTGCTAGAAAATCTGAAATAAACAGACGCAGGCGATCCAGAGATGGAGCTGTGTTCCTCTGCCGCAGGGGAAAACAATGAGTCTTATGACTTCTTAAACACTTAACACATTTATTGTAGGATAAGCTATTTGGTGACCAGGCTCCACTCCATCCACTGTATTAAGTGCAGCCCTAAACTAGCTGATAATGGTAGAACATGCTAAAGAAGTACTGCAGACTCTAGTCCAGGCATGGGCAAATTCTGGCCTGGCAGTTTTCTGGTGTGGCTTGTTCATCAGGTGCTCTGCTATGGCTAAGTTCTCTAGTTGGATTAGTGTGCAGTGCCTTTCATGTTCCTTGATTTGTGTTTGGGCAAATCTGGGCACAAGACACCTACTAACCCAAGGAGTGATCACCACTAAAAAAATGATTTTGTCATTTGGGAGTTGTAGTTGCTGGGATTTATAGTTCACCTACAATCAAAGAGCATTCTGAACTCCACCAATCATGGAATTGAACCAAACTTGGCACACAGCATACAGAAAATACTGGAATGGTTTGGTGTGCACTGACCTTGAGTTTTGGAGTTGTAGTTCACCTACATCCAGAGTACTGTGGACGCAAACAATGAAGGATCTAGACCAAACCTGCACAAATACTCAATATGCCCAAATGTGAACACTGGTGGAGTTTGGGGAAAATAGACTTGACATTTGGGAGTTGTAGTTGTTGGGATTTATAGTTCACCTACAATCAAAGAGCATTCTGAACTCCACGAATGATGGAATTGAACCAAACTTGGCACACAGAACTGCCACAGAAAAAACTGGAAGGGTTTGGTGGGCATTGACCTTGAGTTTGGGAGTTGTAGTTCACCTACATCCAGAGAGCACTGTGCTCAAACAATGAAGAAAAATTCCATATGCCCAAATATGAACACAGATGGAGTTTGGAGGAAATAGACCTTGACATTTGGGATTTGTAGTTACTGGGATTTATAGTTCACTACAATTAAAGAGCATTCTGAATCCCACAAATGCCAGAAATGGGGCAAACTTCCCACACAGAACCCCCATGACCAACAGAAAATACTTAAGGCCATCCAGTCCAACTCTCTTCACCAGGGCAAGAAAATGTAATCAGAGCCCTCCTGACAAAGAGCCATCCAGTCATAAATATAGATAGATAGATATGATTCTCACACACACACAGATATAGTATCATAGATTTGAAAGAGACCCTTAAAGAAGGACTATGATATGTTGCATATTCCAGAGTAGGCAAACCAGACACTCTCTACATCAACACTGACAAAGAAACAGCAAGAAATACTGTTTACTCACAAGCATAAAGGAATTACATATATCAGAAACCAACACTTTCTCATTACTTGATTTTCCAGATCACCAGACTGGGCCACAGCAACGCCTGGCAGGGGCCCACTAGTATTTTTGTAAATCATTATTATTTATATCTCATTATTTTCACAATATCAGCAGCCAAATCTGCATAACTCAGAATCCAATACAAGCCTATAGAAGGTAAAAATTCAAATAGAAGTAAAATAATACAACTATTATCCAAAATAATGAAATGAAAAATGCCATTATAAGTCATTATCATCAGTCTAATGTATCAATGGCACAACTTGCAAAGCAATGCAAACCCACAAAAAAGTAAATATTGAAATAGAAGTAAACTGATGCCTTATTAAAAAACATTAAATGAAAAATACCATTGTAAGTCATTACCATCGACATAAATTTATCTATAGCACAACTTGCAAAGCAATGCAAATCTACAAAAGGGTAAATATTGAAATAGAAGTGAACTCATGCAATTATTATTAACAATAATTAAACGAAAAATACCATTATAAGTCATTACCATCAACATAATTTTATATATGGCACTGGGACTGTGGCGCAGCTGGCTGGGAGTCAGCTGCATTAAGATCACTACTGACTGAAAGGTCATGAGTTCGAGGCCAGCCCGAATCAGAGAGAGCTTCCAACCAATTTGTGTAGCTTGCTGTCGACCTTTGCAGCCCAAAAGACAGATGCATCTGTCAAGCAGGAAATGTAGGTACCACATATGAGGGAGGCTAATTTAACTAATTTAAGATGCCATAAAAATCTCCAACAAACATGTAAAGAATGAGGAAGTACTTCATCAGTGTCACAAATGGATGGTGAAGTGACAGCTCCCTTGGTGGCCAGAATACCCTCATCAAAAAGCTGGAATGTTAAGTAGCCTCTGTGTGTCTGTCTATATATGTTGTGTGTCTATGGCATTGAATCTTTGCCATGTATATGTGCATTGTAATCTACCCTGAGGTCCCTGCGGGGTGAGAAGGCCAGAATATAAATACTGTAAATAAATAATAAATAAGTATATAGCACAACTTGCAAAGCAATGCAAACCTACAAAAAGGTAAATATTGAAATAGAAGTGAACGCATGCCATTATTAACAATAATGATATGAAAAATACTATTACAAGTCATTATCATCTGCATAGTGTATCAATAGCACCACTTGCAAATAAATGCAAACCTACAAAAGGTAAATACTGAAATAGAAGTGAACTCATGCAAATATTAACAATAACGATATAAAAATACTATTATAAGTCATTATAAGTCTGCATAGTGTATCAACAATGCAATGCAAAACTACAAAAGGTAAATAATGAAATAGAAGTGAACTCTAGATCTAGGGAAGTTATGCTACTCCTCTATTCTGCCTTGGTTAGACCACACCTAGAATATTGTGTCCAATTCTGGACACCACAATCCAAGAGAGATATTGACAAGCTGGAATGTGTCCAGAGGAGGGCGACTAATAGGGCTTGTTCTCCAACTACAAGAAAGGAGATTCCATCTGAACATTAGGAAGAACTTCCTGACTGTGAGAGCCATTCAGTAGTGGAACTCTCTGCCCCGGAGTGTGGTGGAGGCTCCTTCTTTGGAAGCTTTTAAACAGAGGCTGGATGGCCATCTGTCAGGGGTGATTTGAATGCAATATACCTGCTTCTTGGCAAAATGGGGTTGGACTGGATGGCCCATGAGGTCTCTTCCAACTCTTTGATTCTATGATTCGTGCAATTATTATTTAAAAAATTAAATGAAAAATACAAATGTAAGTCATTACCATCAACATACTTTTATCTATAGCACAACTTGCAAAGCAATGCAAACCTACAAAAGGTAAATATTGAAATAGAAGTGAACTCATGCAATTACTATTAAGAATAATGAAATGAAAAATACTATTATAAGTCATTATCATCTGCATAGTGTATCAACAGCACAACTTGCAAAGCAATGCAAACCTGCAAAAAGGTAAATATTGAAATAGAAGTGAACTCGTGCAATTATTAACAATAATACGAAAAATACTATTATAAGTCATTATGATCTGCATAGTGTATCAATGGCACAACTTGCAAAGCAATGCAAACATGCAAAAAGGTAAATTTTGAAACAGAAGTAAACTCACGCAATTATTAACAATAATGATATGAAAAATACTATTATAAGTCATTATCATCTGCATAGTGTATCAATAGCACAACTTGCAAAGCAATGCAAAGCTACAAAAAGGTAAATATTGAAATAGAAGTGAACTCATGCAATTATTCACAATAATGATATGAAAAATACTATTACAAGTCATTATCGTCTGCATAGTGTATCAACAGCACAACTTGTAAAGCAATGCAAATCTACAAATGGTAAATATTGAAAAAGAAGTGAACTCGTGCAATTATTATTTAAAGAATTAAATGAAAAATACAATTATATGTCATTACCATCAGCATAATTTTATCTATAGCACAACTTGCAAAGCAATGCAAACCTACAAAAAGGTAAATATTGAAATAGAAGTGAATTCATGCAATTATTATTTCAAAAATCAAATGAAAAATACCATTATAAGTCATTACCATCAATATAATTTTATCTATAGCACAACTTGCAAAGCAATGCAAAGCTACAAAAAGGTACATATTGAAATAAACTAATTAATTAATTAAAATAACACATCAAGTAGAGAAGCATCATTGTTATTTACCTGTAGCACAACTTGAAAAGCAATAGGAATATGAAATGTGAACACAAATCACAGCCAAATCCAAAACAAATTGCAAAAAGCTGCCTCCCTCCAGCAAAGTACCAGTTTCTCAGTGCCTCTTAAAGGGAAAGGGGGGCTTTTCCGAGGCTGGACCATTCTGGAAAGGAAAATAGGGGGAATCTCTGCCTTTTCCTTAATGGAGTCGCCCTCCCTAAGGAAGGAAACACCCCCCTGCTCCCTTGTGGTACGGTCCGGGCCCTCCTCCCCTCCGCGAAAACACTCACCTTCTGATTTTAACCCTCCCGCCTGACGGGCGCCGCAGTGTTGAATCGGTCGCTCTCGGGACCCGTAGGCATCTACCACTGAGGAAGGAAGGAAGGGGGGTGGCATCTCCTGCCTTGGCTAGGTCTTCTCTTCGCTCCTGCGGTCCTTACTCCCCTCCGGGCCAGCCGCAGATGGTTCCTCCCACGGAGGGAGCCGGCCAACCCGCAGCGTCCTCTCGCTCTACTTCAACCTCGGCCTCGTCTTCGGTCGTTTCCGTCACAAGATGGCGGAAAGAGGCGAAGAGTGGGATCGGAAAGCCACGAAGGCGGCGCGCCGAAAGGAGACGACGGCAGGCGGAGATTCCCGAAGCGGAAGGGGGCGGGGCGGGAGACATCGGCACGAGGCCGAAGGGAACTCGGAGAAGAGGGGGCGGAGCTCCGAAGCAGAACCGGCCGATCCGACTCCAGGGTGAAATCCTGCGCATGCGCACTTGGCCGACCTCGTTTTTCCCGCCCAAACTGGCATGAGTCCTTGATCTTGCAGGAAAAGCTTGGCCTCCTGAGTTGTTTTAGGCCTCAATTAATTGACTTATGGATTTGGATATTATAAATCTGTAGGGATTTCACTGCAGTAAGAATGGCAAAGCAGCTGGCTTGGATGATCTACGGATGGAACAAATCAAGAACTTTGGTCCCAAAGCAAGGCGCTGGCTGCTGGAGCTGATGAACAACTGGGAGGGAGAGCCAATAGTCCAGAGGACAAGAGCAGGATTCAAAACGATCTTGACAGATTAGAGAGATGAAGGGCCAAAACTAACACAATGAAGTTCAACAGGGACAAATGCAAGATACTCCACTTTGGCAGGAAAAACGAAATGCAAAGATACAGAATGGGGGACGATGTGGCCTGGCTCGAGAGCAGTACGTGTGAAAAAGATCTTGGAGTCCTCGTGGACAACAAGTTAAACATGAGCCAACAATGTGATGTGGCGGCAAAAAAAGCCAATGGGATTTTGGCCTGCATCAATAGGAGCATAGTGTCTAGATCTAGGGAAGTAATGCTACCCCTCTATTCCGCTTTGGTTAGACTACACCTGGAATATTGTGTCCAATTCTGGGCACCACAATTCAAGAGAGATATTGACAAGCTGGAATGTGTCCAGAGGAGAGCGACTAAAATGATCAAGGGTCTGGAGAACAAGCCCTATGAGGAGCGGCTTAAGGAGCTGGGCATGTTTAGCCTGAAGAAGAGAAGGCTGGAGGAGATATGATAGCCATGTATAAATATGTGAGAGGAAGCCACAGGGAGGAGGAGGGAGCAAGCTTGTTTTCTGCTTCCTTGGAGACTAGGACGTGGAAGCAATGGCTTCAAACTACAAGAGAGGAGATTCCATCTGAACATTAGGAAGAACTTCCTGACTGTGAGAGCTGTTCAGCAGTGGAACTCTCTGCCCCGGAGTGTGGAGGCTCCTTCTTTGGAAGCTTTTAAACAGAGGCTGGATGGCCATCTGTCAGGGGTGCTTTGAATGCAATGTTCCTGCTTCTTGGCAGAATGGGTTGGACTGGATGGCCCATGAGATCTCTTCCAACTCTATTGATGAATAACTGCACTGCATCCTGTCAGATCCCCAAAATCTGGAGGAAAGCAAGAGTCATCGCCATCTTGAAGCCAGGCAAAGACCGCAATGACCCAAAAAGCTACAGACCAATCTCCCTGTTGTGCCACCTCTACAAAGTTCTGGAGAGACTTATTTTGCATAGAATTATGGAAAAAATAGACTCATGTCTGATCCCACAGCAAGCTGGCTTCAGAAAAGGCAAAAGCTGCACATTGCAAGTGCTGAACCTGACTCAGCACATAGAAGATGGCTTTGAAAGGCAGCAGATCACAGGAGCTGTCTTCATAGACCTGTCAGCAGCCTATGATACTGTGAACCACCGCCTCCTCCTGAGAAAAATGTATAATATCACAAAGGACTACCACTCACCCGCCTCATAGGAAACCTGCTACAAAACAGGAGCTTTTTTGTTGAGTTCCAGGGCCAGAGAAGCAGATGGCGGAAACAGAAGAACGGCCTGCCTCAGGGGAGCGTGCTTGCTCCATCCATGTTCAACATCTACACAAATGACCAGCCACTGCCAGAAGGGACAGAGAGTTTCATCTATGCTGATGATCGTGCCATTACTGCTCAAGCAGGGAGCTTTGAGTTGGTAGAACAGAAGCTTTCTGAAGCTCTAGGTGCTCTTACTGCCTATTACAGGGAAAACCAGCTGATCCCCAACCCATCTAAAACACAGACATGTGCCTTTCATCTCAAGAACAGAAAGCATCCCGAGCTCTGAAGATCACCTGGGAAGGAATCCCACTGGAGCATTGCAGCGCACCCAAATACCTCGGAGTCATTCTGGATCGTGCTCTTACCTACAAGAAGCATTGCCTGAACATCAAGCAAAAAGTGGGTGCTAGAAACAATATCATACGAAAGCTGACTGGCACAACCTGGGGATCACAACCAGATACAGTGAAGACATCTGCCCTTGCGCTGTGCTACTCCGCTGCTGAGTATGCATGCCCAGTGTGGAATACATCTCACCACACTAAAACAGTGGATGTGGCTCTTAATGAGACATGCCGCATTATCACGGGGTGTCTGCGCCCTACACCACTGGAGAAATTACACTGCTTAGCCGGTATTGCACCACCTGACATCCACCGGGAAGTAGCAGCCAATAGTGAAAGGACCAAGGCAGAGACATCTCCAGCTCATCCCCTGTTTGGGTATCAGCCAGCACGTCAACGACTTAAATCTAGAAATAGTTTTCTAAGATCTACAGAGACACTCGCTGGGTGAAGTGGCCCTCTGTTATGTCACTAGAAAAAAGAGGTGACACAGATTGGCTGTTGCCAGGTGAAGCGGCCCTCCTTTACGTCACTAGAAAAGGGTGGTGAAGTGGATTGGCTGTTGCTAGGTGAAGTGGCCATCTGTGATGTTACTAGAAAGGAAGAGGTTAAGCAGATTGGCTGTTCCTGGGTGAAGTGGCCCTCTGAGATGTCACTAGAAAAGAAGGGTGAAGTGAATTGCCTGTTGTTTGGGGCATAAGGGGAAAGAAGGAAAGAAAGAAAAAGTACTGAAAGAAAGTGAGGTAGAAAGGAAGGCAAGGCGAAGAAAGGGGAAAGGGGAAAAACAGAAGGAAAGAAAGAAGCGAAAGGAAATGGTAAATGGGAAGGGAGGGGAAGAAAGGAAAGGTGGAATAAATGGATGGAAAGAGAAAGAAGGGAAAGGAAGGGAAGCAGAAGAAAGAAAAAGGGAAGGAAGAGAAGAAAATTATGAGGGAAGAAGGGAAGAAAGAGAAAGAAATGAAGAGGAAGAATGGGAGAAGGGGTGGAGAAGAAAAGTAAGGGGATGGGAGAAGAAAGAAGAGAAGGTAAAAGGAAGAGAGGGATGAGAAGGAAGGAAAAGAAAGGGGAAGAAAGGGAAGAGACAAGAGAAGAGTAAGGAAAGGAGTAGGAAGAAAAGTAGGAAGAAAGAAAAAGCACAGAAGAAAGAGAAGGAAGACAAAGGAGTGGGGGAAAGGTATGGGAGAAGGGGGAAGAAGAGAAAGGAAGAGAGTGATAGGAAGAAAGAAAAAGCAAGGAAGAGATAGGGAAAGATGTGAGGGAAAGGAAAAACAGAAGGAAGGGAGGAGAAGGAAGAAAGTATGAGAAGGGAAGAAAGAAGGGAGGAGGACAGAAGAGGGAAAGGAAGAGAGTGATAGGAAGAAAGAAAAAGCAAGGAAGAGAAAGGGAAAGATGTGAGGGAAAGGAAAAACAGAAGGAAGGGAGGAGAAGGAAGAAAGTATGAGACAAGGGAAGAAAGAGAAAGAAGGGAAGAGGAAGGATAGGACAAGGGGCGGAGAAGAAAAGGTATAAGGGGATGGGAGAAGAAAGAAGGGAAAGTAAAAGGAAGAGAGGGATAGGGACGAAAGAAAATGGAAGGAAGGAAAAGAAAGGGGAAGATAGAAGGGAAGGGAAGAAGAGAAGAGGAAGGAAAGGAGAAGGAAGAAAAGTATGAAACGGAAGAAAGAGAAGGAAGACAAAAGAAAGGGGGAAAGGTATGGGAGAAGGGGGAAGACGAAGAAGGGAAAGGAAGAGAGTGATAGGAAGAAAAAAAGCAAGGAAGACAAAGGAAAGATGTGAGGGAAAGGAAAAACACAAGGAAGGGAGGAGAAGGAAGAAAAGTATGAGACAAGGGAAGTGAAAGAAGGGAGGAGGACGGAAGAGAAAAGGAAGAGAGGGATGGAGGAGAAAGAAAGAAGAAGGAAGACTAAGAAATGGTCTGGAGTTGCCTAGAGTCCCTCTGGAAAACGACTGCAATTTTCTCTAAGGAAGATTAAGGCGGTCTCCCACTTGATAACACTGCAGGCAACAGGCGGATTTTAATTAACTAAAATTAATCAAATTCGAAAAACAAAATAACCCAGCGGAACAGGGTCCGTAATGTCCCTGGCGGGCTTAGGTTGTGTCACTTCAAAAAAATTGTACAATGGGCTGCTGTGCATTTTTAGGCTGTATAGCCATGTTCCAGTAGCATTCTCTCCTGATGTTTCACCTGCATCTGTAGCTGGCATCCTCAGAGGCCCATTGGGGTGGGGCAAGTGGAATGCAAATACCGTATTTTCCGGCGTGCACAGATCTTCCAATAGCCAAGCAAAGCAATAATGTGACCCACACATTCTTGTGAAATGCCGATTATGCTTGAAAATTCTCTCTGAGTGATACGACGATTGACCTGACTCAATCTGTCAACCTTTTGCTTGTGAAACTCGGTGGTTGCTGTCACAGAATGCCCAACTCTTTGTTTGTCATGGAAGTCAGATGTTCCCACTTTAAAATCTTTAAACTTACTCACCCAGCGACGCACGGTACTCACATCAACAAAATCACCATAAACAGCTTGCATTCTCTGGTGAATCTCCTTTGGGGTGACACCTTCTGCTGTCAAGAATTCAATGACTTTACGTTGCTTAAGTCGCATTGACCGACCATCTGCACAGGCTTCCATGTTTCACACTTTAACAACACAACCACTCAATGCTAAGGCATCCCTCCAAAATGGAACTGTAGAGGAGAGTCTACAGAGGAGAGTCCCAACCCTGTTATATGCCTGCGAAATGTGGACAGTCTACAGACGTCACATGCAACTCCTGGAACGATTCCATCAGCGCTGCCTCCAGAAAATCCTGCAAATCTCTTGGGAAGACAGGCGGACAAATGTCAGCGTGCTGGAAGAAGCAAAGACCACCAGCATTGAAGCAATGGTCCTCCGCCATCAACTCCGCTGGACCGGCCACATTG